CCTCTCCCCCTCCCCTCCTCCCAGACCTAGGGCCACCAAGAATCTTAACTAGTATTTAGCTATTTTAATTGTAAGCACAATGAGCAAGATTCATGTTTGATATGCATTTGTGCAGCACCTGGCACACTGGGCTGCAGTCCTCACATGCTACTCCTGGATACACCCACAACACCAAAAGTAAATAATAATAATTTGCAACTAATTTGTGAATGATCTAGGTTTTGGATGCCACTGCACAGCAAAAGAGCGGCACCAACTGCCTCCTTAACACTGCAAGGCTTCTATATCTTCTTTTCTGTTCACCAATTACTCCTCAACCATGTTTGGTAAAAACTCCAATAGTATTCATGCTATTCAATTTCTACCAGGATTTAAAAAAATAATAATAATTTCTAAGGATGTAGGTAAGTAACTGGGTTCATTTTACAACCATGTCATTTTCTGTTCTTAATATTGAGATTTTTTTCCCCCAGCTCCGTTTAAGATTTCAAAATAGAAACATAACCAACATAGCTGACAAGGGCCAAATGTTGCGTATAATACAATACCCAACATGCACTAAAATTTATTTTGTGATTTTTACAGGCTAAGATTTAGGTAGCATCTTTGAGACCTGTGGAAAAGGTAACTTTGTACCTCAGTATGATTTTTTCAGAAGCACATTACAACCCAGCCAGTCCCACATGTACTGTTTTGGGTTCCCTGGCTATACATGCAAATCTTATGGGCATCAGCCTCTAGGGTGGTTTAGACAGGGGTGGTTCTGCCTGGAGTAGGCAGGATCCTTTATCATAATAAGGATCCTTCCAACCTTTTTTTTTTTCCTGCTCCTTTGAAATATTTTCACTCAGGTCACTGGAGTGGGCAGGGCACTTGGTTTTCGAGTTAGTGCAAAATTCAATAGCATTGATAAATATTAAGGCCAAAAAGGACCATGGCTGTACATCCAGTCTGATGCCAGGTGATCCAAGTGAGTAAGTTTTCATCCAGTTCTTTGGTTGTGATTTAAAATCCATCTCACCATGCTTGGTCCCTCCGATTTACTCTCTCCTCCACACAAAAGCTTAGTGCCTACCCAGCGCTACTCTGACAAAGAGCACAAAAGTAGAAGGTCCACTCCTGGAGCAGAACCAAATGCCTATTGGTGCGATATGCAAGCTAGCAAGCGATAGACTGTGGCTACCGCATACCTAACGCTTGTTAGCGGATGCTGTGCATCACATTTCTTTCAGAGGAAAGCACACCATCAGCCTGCCCCAAGCAGTACGGAGAGCGCAGAAGCTGAAGAATTGGAACAGACTAAATAATGGGTCCCATCTGCAGGAAGAAAATGAAATTTGCCCTCATGTTGCTGAAAAGTTGCACTTGATGCTCACTGCACATTATATGGAAAAGGTCAGTGAAACACAACAAACACAAGGAGCCAAGCTGGCGAAAGCAATAAATAGTGACAGCAGCCCTTGTCTAATTCTTCAGAGCCTCTCTCGCTTTTCTCCAGTACTAGCAATTTCACTTTCCATGGAGCAGCAAAGGCTGGAGATAAACAGCTTTGCTCCACCGGGAGGGAGAGCATGAATGTAGCTTCCCAGGGCTACTTGGCAAATCCCAGCAGTTGAATTCAGGGCAATTAGGATTTTCAACTGGACAGGGGATTGTAAATGGATGTGATAAGAAGATTTCTGCCTCCCCATCCTACCTAATTTTGCTTTGCTTTCATAGGGGTGGCTCCCTTTGTCTGAAATGATGGTCTGCAGAGACACAAGTCAGCTTCACAGGTGATATCAGGCAAGCTATGGTCCTGGTATGGGGCAGGTAAGAACTGAACCAGCTACAATGCTCCCACACAACCAATCCATAAATTCCCTTCAGTGTCTTCCTCGCAACTTTCCAGTTCCTTTTTCAAAACAGTTTAAGTGAATGCAGGACTGCTGAACGGTGCCAGATGACCAGCACCTGAGATTGAAACCCCCAGCTCACCCACAGAACAGTGCAGCTCATGCAGCAGCAATGCATGCTACACCTGATGCTACTGCAAGTGATGGGCCACCTGCTTGAGAGATCCCTTTCGGAGGGGTGGGAGGAAAATGCCATTTTTGGGCCTGTCATCTTTTTCTTCTTCCTGCAGACACTGCTAGCAGTTGGGGAAATGTTGTTATGTGAGGATGTGAGGGCAGGAAGTTAAGTGTTCTATAAAGTATTATAGCCAAGTATATTTTGGAGGAATCCCCTCTGTTAAGATTGAGGGGAGCAATTTTTGGAAGAGATCTAATAAAGGAACATTTCAGGAGACCTGCACTGGCTGAAACAGATTTGGTATCTAATGCACCCAAGAGCTCAGAGTTGCTCTCAAGGCCTTACCATCTGCAATGAAGTGCTCAGGAACATGAAGAGTCACCTTCACCGTCAGTGGGCAGGACAGCTGAGTGCCGCATACCATGGCCAGGATGCAGGAGCTGATTGTGATGAGAGTCAGAGCCGTCTTGTTCACAGGACTCTTTACAGAACCTGGAACAAATATATACATAGGTTATATACATAGAGCCTGATGTCAAGAGCCTCATAGGGTCATTTAGTCCAACCCCTTGCTCAAGGCAAGACTGTCCCCAAATAAACCATCCCAGCCAAGTATATAGGATCATAGGAAAGTACAGCTGGCAGGGACAAAATGCTTCACAATCTCGAAAGGATTCTGCGTTTTCAAAACCCTTCTAAGGGAGGGAAACATCCTCACACAAGGACTTGAGGCACAGGATAAATAAGTGACTCACCCCAAAAATCACACTGAAAGCCAAGGGCTGAAGTAGAAAGCAAAATCGTGATTGCCCCATGCAACTGTCTATTGATCATGTTGCCTTCTCATCCATTTGGCTCATCCCTTCCACTGGGGCTAAGATCTATCAGCTCAAAATGTGGCTGTGAGGCTAAATTCATCAGTAACTTAGAAGGTTAAACAAGTGAAAGTATTAGATTTAATTGCAAAGCAACCTCAGCTAAGTGCATCTCCTGGAGAAGGGCAGTGCAGTTCAGAGCAAACCATGTTTAAGAAAATCAGTTTGATAGCATTCAGGTTGAAGAACATTTCAAGGGTCTACCTGAGTTTTTTCATTCATTCATTTTCTTTTAAGATTAATTCAGAGTCTAAGTGGCTTGGGCCACTGGGGCCAGCCCAGTTCTAAAGCCCATCTGTTTTAAGTGTGATTTTTTTCAAACGTGGCTGGTGACTGTATATGCTTCAATCCTTCTAGTGCTCAACTTAAGAAAACTTAAGGGACCTAATTTTTAGTAGTGATATCTAAAGACTTTTTAAAAATCTGGTTTCTTTAAAGTGCCTGGAGCCCAAGGACTGAGTGCCCTACACCCAGGTCACCACTCATTTTCTAATCTTTCAACCTAAACTTTCATAACAACCTACACAATCAATTTTCTTCAAACTTTGCTTGCTTGACTGATTGTATTGAGACTTGTTGAATCTTAATAATAATAATAAGAAGAAGAAGAAGAAGAAGAATACCAGGTCTCAAGGCTGCCTGTATTGTGCTATCATTAACTACATGCAGTGTCACAAGAACTCAATCTTTGTACAAATATTTCAGTTGCAGTAATTAGCAAGTGCTATCTACTAATTGTTAATACTGATACCATTTTAGACATTTAAAAGTGACTTCAGTCAACAACAAAACAAGCTGTGCAAACAAACCAGAGTCAAAACAAGCATAAGACACTCCAAGCAGAATGCTTTTGCCAGTCACAGAAGCTTGTAACATCTCTCAAAGCACAGCTTGCAAAGGGCTTTCTTGCTTGTGTTAGCTCAAATATTTTCTGACATTAGGAAGACAGCTTTCAGTGCAGGCCGACTCAACTCTAAAGGCTCCCCCCATCCTACCCTGACACCAGAGCGATGTGTGGGTCATACCAGGCCTTCCTTCTTCAATCTCTGAGGGGCATCTGTCTAACATCATGGATGATCGAATGCTGGCACCTCAGAAATAATTCAGTAGACATGGGGCCTTTGAAGCTAAGGAGCTCCCTCATCCACAGCTACGAGGAACAGTGTTCTGCTGCTGGACTCGGAACATAATCCCTCAGCTTCAGCAAGAGCTGTTTGATGGTTTTTTTAGCAAAGGGAATCAAATGAAAAAAGAACTTGATCATGAGCAGCTCTGCACAGAATGACACAGGGAACAGAATTCACCGAGAAACCCTGGTCCATCACATTACATTATGGAAACCAAATTAGACCAGTGCTCATTCATATTTCACATTTGCATTTCACCAAGTAGCTACACTATATAAAGAAAGGAAACAGAAACCATAAGTTAAGATGGAGAACTGTCTCATGGGATCCAACAGCTCCCATTCAGCACAAGTCAATGGTAGCATCTGGTGGCTGCACCATGGAAAGAGACTGTGGTCCTCACCCACGGCTCACTAAACAGGTATCCGCTACCCAGAACTGCACCATCACAACTGACATACACAGGTTGTAACCTGAAAATTCAAGGCATCCATGGGCCATTGATAATAAATTACCCTCTCCCCCACAGACAGGGCAGGGTGGGTTGGGTTCAGATATCTGCACTGCTGCTGTTTGTGCTGCATCTCCTCTTGGTTACAAAACTTCACTCCCCAGGTGTACCTACTTTTATACTTTGCAGCAGCATTAAAATGTACTTAAAACTAGTGAAAGATGCACTGTCCTGAGCAAAGGAAACCCTTCTCTGACACTGGGGAATCAGCTCCATGCCAGGTGAGTACAGTTTCAGGAGTATGCATAAGACAGGACACAGACCTGCAATTAATGGGAGCCACCACTAAATGATCTATACGGGTTCAAGAGCGATTGCTGAATTCCCATCAGGTCTGATCACATCCTCCTCTGAATTCCCAGCAGACATATTTATTTATTTCTGGAACTCAATCTATTTCCCCCCTCCCCACCGTCACCCCCAATCTCATCAGCAAACTGAGATTTAAAATGCATTCATTTGAAAATTGAACAGGAAAGACATCCAGCAGGTTAGCACTCCTGTGCTTTGCCTTATAATTTGATCATTTCTGCTACTAGATATATTGGCAATGGAGCAAGGAAGTTACATTTGAGCTGAATCCAGAATACGAAGAACATTTTCAATTAAAAGGAATGGTTGCACCAGAGAAAAAAGGTCTGACGGATAAAGGGACTCACAGACCAGGTAACTGTGGTTGTTGGTTAGTCTATAATGTGAAAATCTATCCTGCCTTCTACTTGACTTCAGACTAACATGGTTAATTGTGTCTCTTGTGTCTGGCTGACATACAGTGCTTAAGAGGAGGTGCTGACCTGCTGGACAGCTCCTTCGAGAACCAAAGGGATTGGAGACGAGAGAAAAGAAATATTTGTACAGCACTTTCCATATTCTTTGAGTCCATAAAGTGTTGCACACACAACCCTCCCTTCAAAATACTCAATTAGCCCTACTCACACCTTTGTCACTGATTTCCTGTATGACTTTTTCCACTTTGCTGAGTTCCTTTTTCCTTCCCACTTATTATCAGACTGTGTGCATGTGTGTGTGCATGTGCAGGTGGTGCACGGTACCATACTCTTCCTCTCAATTGGGGCCTACCAGAAGGCAAAAACAAACAAACTGGTAATGGGAATATTCTGATTCATAACAGCCTTGACAGCCCCTATTTTCCTCATTATAAACTGACATTCATTCCAAGATCTTAAAGCTCTTTCCAGAAGTTAAACTTCAGGTCCCTTTTGCATTCGACAAGGGTAATCACCATTTTGCAATGAAAATGAGTCACAGGTATGATGACTTGTCAAACACCATGCAGAGAGTCAGTGACAGAGATGGAAAGTGAACTCCGGGTCCCTTCTCCCCATCCTGCCTTAAGCCCCTAAGACCAAACTCCACTCCCCACCCCCGCAAAAAAACCCGAAAAACAAAACAAAGCAAAACAACCCCCCGCAAAAAAACAACCCCAAAATGGTGCAAAATACTGAAAGGCTTTTACATCTGAGCTCACTAAAGAGAGGGACAGATATGTGAGGCCAGGGTGATTTACTGCAACTCTCATAACTGAGGATGACAGCTCCCTACCCCAACACCATTTCACTGTTAATTTTCATCACATGCATCTAATTATTGACTTTCAGTACTGCAAACATATTTCACCAAGTGCTGGCAAGCAGGGAGCTCTGATCAATGGATGATGGGGCTCAAGTTGGAAAAGAGACTGGATTTCCAGTTCAGCCTTTTATAGCTCCTGACCAGTTTGCTGCCAGGGTCTGAGAGACACCGCTGGAGATGGCAGATCCCTCCCTCATCATTTAAACACGGGGACATTTTTTCTCCTTTTCCATCCCAGAGCCTGCTCTTCAGACCACTAAGGATTCAGCATAAGTCTTCTTGCATTGTGTTTAAATGCCCATCTGGAAACAAATGGCTTTGTGCCAGACCTCTAAAAACACAGAGAAATGGATGCTTTACAACCCGTTGCTAACTAAACAAATCTCAACAGGTTCTCAGGGGTTTCTCTGTCAGTGCTAAAGAAGGGAAACAGAAAGAACAATTCTGTTCTGGCCCCAAGGGTACCCAAATCCAGCTCTCAGCAGGTATTCCAGTAACTGCCAGGACTAATTGAATTGCCTTGTTAACCCTACTTAGGCTGGAGACCCAAGCTTTGCTGCTCTGAACCCTTTGCTCTCCACTCCCCTCCTCCCCCCTCCCCTGTAAGTCCTGGACTCCCACTGAGATATTTGCACAACAGTTTGCAAACCCAAGTAAACTGAGTGACTGACACCATGGCTGATATTTTAAGGTCATGAAGAGTGGGAATGAAAATTCCTGAGAGAATAAGGCTGAGGGTTGGGCAGCATAAGGTCTGAGAGGGAGGGTGTGTGTGGGCATGGGGAAATCCTCCCAGAGGAAATGGCTCCTGGACCTTTCCTGCCTGTCCCAAGTTAGGGGCAGAGAACAATCTGTATCCCAGTCTCGCAGCCCAGTCCTAGACCCTGATGACAGGCGAGCACGTTCCTTCATCCTCTTCACAGAGCTATTTACTTCCCTTGCAGGCTCAGTCAACTACTCTGGCTACAGAAGTATGGGGAACAGCCAAGGTTGGCAGCATGTGGCCTAAAGGCCAGATCTGGCCCACAGGATCTGACCTATGCAGCTGGAGGCCTTTGACTGTGCCCACAATCATGCCAGGGCAAGCCAGCAAGCAGCTGAGTCACTGCTACTTCTCCCCTCACCTCCCCTCCCACCCTGGCTACAGCATGGGCACAGCTTCCAGCCAGTGGGGAGCTTCCAGCTGCATCTGCATTGCAGCCAGGAGGCAGGGGTAGGGGGTGCAGCACGGACATGGTTTGCTGCTGCCCAGCCCCAGCACAGCTCCCCACTGGCTGGAAGCGGTGCTCACTCCCCAGCCAGGGAGCCCAAGGCTGAGAGAAGCAGCAAAGGAGCAGCTCCAAGCTGCCAGGCCCTGGTGCAGTTGCAAAGGGAGTCCCCTGCTGC